TTAAATAAGATGATGTGATTTAAATAGGATAGTGACTTTTTTACTTTTTAAATTTTTTAAGAATTGCCAAACTTGGCCTAAATATATAGTTCTAATTTGAGCTCTAATGATGTGTTAAAACAAAAAAATAAAATAAAACAAAACAAGGCACAAACATCACATCAGGATGGGACCCACCTTCCCATTAGAGCTATTAGAGCTCCTATATTAGAGCTCTAAAGCATTTTTGATATTGTTACTAATGTATCATAGGGATTTAAATAAAAATTTTAAAAGAAATATATATATATATTTAAAAAAAATTAAAAATTATAAAAGGATATAGGTTTTGAGTTCTATTACCAAAAAAAAAAAAATTTAATTTTATCAATTTAAAACTTAAATTTTTTATTTGTTTGCAATTTAAATTATTTACCTATTTTTTATAAGTAATATTGTCAGGAAAAAAGTATTTCAGTCATTAAACTAAAAAAAAATTAAAAATTAAATATTTTATGTACACCTACATTGAGTTTAATAATTAAAATACTTATAATGTATTTTGTTATAAAGATCAAATTCTAAGTTCTTTTTTGTACTGTTTCTTAATTTTTTTAAATTTTTTTTTATATAAATTCATGATCTAAAATCCGCTTAAAATAAATTAGGAGAATGGAAATAATGCCATGGAATTTGTTGGTTTTGATGGATTTTTCATAAAGTACTCTGTCTTTAAATTTAAAAACAATTTAATTTTCTTTTCACTCTCAATTCAACAAATTGAAATATTATGTTTAAATATTTTTATATTATAATCATTTTCAAAATTAGAAGGTAAGGAAAATTACATTGATTTTTTTTTAGTCTGAAAAAAATGCAATAAGTTGGACAAAATATAAATTTTTTAGTCTGAAAAAAATGCAACAAGTTGGACAAAATATAAAAGTAGAACAATTTTGTTAGGATAAATTACAATTTGCATCCTCATTCATTTCAATTTTTTTTTTTTCAAATTATAACGTAGTTATTCTCTTACATTTTTTTTGTCAAATTATAACGTGGCCATTCCATTAGTTGCGAGACAATAGATTTTTGACTAATAGCATACAAACAAAAAAATTGTATAAAATTTTTATATACAATGATATAACTCAATGTAGACTTTTATTTTGAGAAAATTACAAGAAAAAAATACAAAATATAACAAAATAAATTCTAAATTTTTATTTTATTAATTTCAACCCTAATCTTTTGATTTATTTTTAATTTAAACTATTTGTCTATTTTCGTTAATTATGACCAAAAAAATAATATTTTAGTCATTAAACTCAATATAAATATACATAAAATGTTTAAAATATAATTTTTCATTGAATTTAATGACGAAAATATAATTTTTTGCCTATTTTACTTAATGAAAATAAGCAGATAATTAGATTGAAAACAAATTAAAATATTAGGATTCAGATTAACAAAATTAAAAACATAGAATTTATTTTATTAAAAGAGTCAAGCTCTGAGATTTTTTAGTGATTTCCCCTTTTCATTCTAAAACTAAACACTTTATGAAGATGAATTTATTTATAAAATGATATTATCAAATTATTCTTGTAAAGTTTTTTTGAATAAATTTTGTGTATACATAAAATTTTTCTAGACAATTTAAGATGTTGTATTTTATTTATTTTTCATTCAATTTTACTAATGACAATTTAAAAAATTATCAATAAGCACGGTAAAGAGTCAAAAAAAATTAAAATCCTAATGCATTTTTTACGTGCCTCAAAATACTTTTACACTTTTTGATATACTTTAATATATTTTTTATACACTTTTTAAATTAACAATAATCTAAAAGTTATTTTTAACATTTTTTTTAATTTGCACCATGCAAATAATGTAACTTAAGTCTGGTTTGTTAATTATATATATTAGTTAAAAAGTTGCGAAATTATTATAAATTATTATATTATTTTAAATTTATTTTTATAAAAAAATTAAAAATTATTAAAATAATATATTCTGGGTACTTAATAATTTAAAAAAAAAATTGGGGTTGGGGGCAAAGTTTGTTTTGATTGGATGTGACAGTAGATGTGAGAGAGGGGAAAAAAGTAATGGGATTGGGGGACCATTTTGGGGCAGTCCCTCCATCTTTCTTTCTTGATTACGTGTGGGATTTGATGTGATTTGAAATTTTGCTCTGCCAAAAACAGAGAGGGTCACAGATGTTGCTGCGAAAAATTTGATCTAGAATTTTTATTTTTAATAGTTTAATATAATTATGGAAAATGATTGGTGGCCCTAAAAAATTTGCCCCTAATGCCCCTAATTTCCATTTTTAGAAACTGTTTATTTTTTAACTTTTTTAATTTATTTTTATTTTTAAAATAAATTATATAAGAGGTGATGTGACTCAAAATAGATAAAAAAATTAAAAATTGACATTTTATCAACTTTTCAAAAGACTCCGTACAACATCGATGGGGTGTTTTGGGAAGTTGATAAAAAGCTGACTTTTGATTTTTTATCAAATTTTTTGACTTTTTTTGAAGTAAATTGGGAAGTTGGTAAAAAGTTGACTTTTTTACTTTTTGGTTTAATATTTTTTAAAAGTGCCACATCACTCTAAAATGACCAAAATATCTTTACTTTTTGCATGTCAACATTTTTTTTGAATTAATTAATTATAATGGTCTATAGGATAGTTTGATAAATTTGTAAGTAACTTTTTTGGGTCTTTCCAAATGGATATAGTGGCGTTTTTACAAGGGTGGCGTTTTGGGAAAATTGCTCAAAACGTGGCGTTTTTGGGAAGTTGACAAAACGGCACATCATGTGGTGCTGCACCTAGATTAACCAGGCTTGTTTTGAGAATATAATTGAAAACAATTTTTTGACTTCTTTTAAATTTTTTTAGATCACATCTCTTTTATACTATTTTACACATTTTAAAAAAAAAACTAAAAAATTTTAAAAATAAATTTTGACAACTTTTCACCACACATATATCTCACCATGGTCAGGGACGTGGACCTCCCTGAGTTGACTTTCAATCAGGTATTACATGAATTCTAGTATTTTTAATTGATTTCTTAATTTCTTAATTTTCTTAATTTGAGATTAAAAAATCTCGTTTTGAATTATTTTTTTTATTTTTTTAACTTTCATAAAAGAAAAAATAAAATAATTATAATTTAAATATAATATTTTATCTTAATAGACTAAAACATTTATTTCGTCTTGCTATTTTAATCCTGCTATTTTAATCCAAGAAGAAGATGCCAAACTTAGTAATTATTCTACTTTGAAAAGGATATCACTTCTTTTCAGTCCAGTGAATGAACTTTTTTTTTGAGTTTTGACTCTAACGACGTTTACCATGTAAATATATTTTTTAAATTTTATTGAAATGATATTTTCTAAACATTTTATTTAGAGACTAGACTTTTTTTTTTTTGGTGACAATTATGTGATTATAATTATTGTATTGATTTTTTTTTATTAATTTTATTTAGAGACGTGACAATTATGTGATTATAATTATCGTATTGATTATAATTATGTGATTATAATTTTATTTAGAGACTAGGCTTGTGGTGAGTTCAATTGGTGTGAATTTTAGACTTTGGCAACAAAATTTATATTTCCAAATCACACTATTTGGTAAAGAAGTTGAGTTCATTTATCTTTTTACACATAATTTAAGTACGTAGCTTATCTCCAGTCCAACTAAGCATATGATGTTTTGAATTCAAATCTTATCATTATGCAATAAAAACCACTCTTAACGTGTAACCAAAAAAAAACGAAAAGAAGAAAAAAAGAGGAAGGGCAATAGTATATAAACATGAAATATCTAAATTGAGACCTATCATTTAAAATAAAACACCCATAAAAATAGCTTCAAAACTAAAAACACCAACAAATTATTCTGGTTGAAGATTTAAGTATAAAAACAATTTAAGAACAGATTTTTCCCAAGGCAATAGTTAAATGAGTTTTACCAATAAAACCTGCCATATATCTTTTATTTATATATATTATGTGATAATACCTACCTACCATCTATGTTGGACAGGCAAAATCCCAAAACACACATGGTGTTATTTGGCAAAGGCTTTCCCGGCTATTTTAACCACAAAAGACAAAACAGACTATTTTTGCCACAACAAACATAGTTATTACACTCTGCTCTCACAAAAAAAATCAAAAAAGTCGAAAAGACTTTTCCAAACCAAACTTTTTAACCCAAATTAAAAAAGTCAAAAAAAACTTACCCACTTCCCAAACGGAGGCATAATTTGATAAAATATTTTTAAAAAATAAACTTCATACTAATAACATTTTTGCAACTATATCGATTTTCTTACATAAAACAAACAAATTTGAGTAAAACACATCATTTTGTTTTGTATAAAAAATTTATACAAGTTTTGAATAAAAAGCAGATCAGTTAAAAAGGGCAGCAAAAGCAGACAATAAAAATGTTAACGGCAATCCCAGGCACCCAAACAGGCCATAAAGGGGAAAAACAAAACAAGCAAACAAAAAAAGGTTTGAAACAGTCCACACTCTTTAATAGTCCATTGCCTGTGGAAAAATAACTAGACATAATGATGGATTGATTACATGTCAGTCCCACTAATTACAGTTCTATCTGATATGATAATGACCTAAACAAACCAACAATAAGACAAAAACAGTTTACAGGACATGCAATTCAACAAACCTACCAGGAATTGGGCCCATATTGCTATCATCATAACCCCCTATAATTGAAATTTCAACCAATTTCCTATCATATTCTAAATGATTGAAATAAACAGTAAAATTAAAAATTAAAAAAAAAATTCCAAGTATGCCACGTGCCACCATTATCCGGCAAAATGACTCATCTAATGCAAGAGTGCTGACCAACTGGACTAATACAATACCACTAGTCGATTGATAATGTAAACTACAGTAGGATTTTATCTTAAGCTGAAAAAATCACACCCATAGATTTGGATCCGAAAACATAACAGTTATACAAACCATGCATTACCCATAATAATATAGATAGACAACAAGTTTTCATCCAGATCCTTCCCAAGATCTATTTCAGATGTCATTTAAGTTTTCAACAAAATAGACAACAAACATATATATATATATATATAATTTAAGTCATAGAGCTAAAGTTGGGAGTCTTGAGAGTAATAATCAGTTTTCTTACACAAAAGACCAGTTCATGAACATGAAAGCTAGGCAGTGACTTGAATCGTCGTCGTTGAGAACTTGCCATGCAATAGCTTGCTCGTATGACACTGGCCTGCCCATGCTAGATATGCATATCCCCGCTGGCAAGTAAGCAAATCCCTGAAACAGATGATATCGTTAAAAGAACCCAGGATATCATACAATTTCTGTTATATCAATATTAGAAGTACAAAAACCTGATAGTATGGTCAATATTTAAAATGCTATTTCAGTATCTATATACATGCATTTCAATAATGCAGAATGTAGGTAGTGACATTTTCCAAATTTGACAATTAATCAAAAACCCGTGTCGATTGTCTTACCTGCTGCATGATCTTCGAGAACTCTGAGAGTAAAATCTTCCGACCAGATTCATCAAGAATCTTATCAAGCATTATGTCTTGAAGGGCCACGAGAGTAGTTTCAAGCATGTCGAGCCCTGCCTGGTTTGCAAACGTGAAAACTGCAGATGCCTGCCATTATAGTTTTGAACATCCTGTTAGGAGTTTGCTTTGTAGAAGCAAAAGCAAATTTGACAAAGCCCTATCTCGTCTAAAGACAGACACCGAGGATGGAAGTTAAAAATGAGATAATTACATTTAGTTTCACAGAGCAGCACATGATCGCATCTGAATGGTGCCAAAGTTGCTTCAAGACTGCATCACCCGTTTGAGCATCAACTCGAAGGAGCTCACTCCCAGTGTGAACTCTGAAACATAAAATCTTGCACCAGTAAGCAATAAGTGGGAAGAGATTCCAAGGTTCTAGAATATATGCTGTTAATAACGCACACCAAAATATAGGGGCAACACTTCTTTCTCACAAGGTTATTTATCTTCATATATCCATGTGAGAGAATGGCTAATGGCATTCACATTCAACCTCGTAGCATCATTGAACATTTTATTGAGAACTACTGAAGAAGTAATTTGAAATTTCCAAAATATCCTAGAGTCTATAATGGACTCTCAGTTAATGCTGCACCCCAAAATGTTAGTGTTACACACTTCTCCCTCACAAGCATATTTTTGTCTTCTTATACCCATGTGAGAGAGAAGTGTGTGGCACCAACATTTTGGTGCATCACATTATCATTTCCCGTCAAGTACTATGTGGAAGATGTATCATCACTTCCAGGTTAATCAAAGTCATTTAGAGTTCCTAGGTTGAATTATGAAGCGAGTTTAGAATTCTCCTATTGCAAATATAAATAGGTTATTGCAAATATAAATAGGTGTCTTGAATGGGTTGTGTAAGCATAAAGATAGAGAGAAAAGCCACCACTAGTGAGGAAGGTTGAAAAACAAATGTCAAGTGAGAACGGAAAAACAAGATGGCATAAAAAGATTTAAACTGCCACATGAGAGGGTGAGGAAGAAGTCTCTCTCCTATATCGAAAAGAAGAAAGCCTCCAAGGGTGAGGAATGTTTAAAGAAAAAAGCCTCCAGAAGTAAGAATGAAAAGCCCTAATAGACTTGCAAAAAATTCAACACAACACTAATGTGGTACCAATAATAAATTACCGCATGTCTCTGAACCCCACTAAGCAAAATGGTAATTATTGGATAGTGTTGTAATTGGTTACTACATTTGAATAGTGGCGTTCACCATCCCATGTAACGGATTATTATTGGACGTCGGCGAAGACATGATATCATCATTATATACTAAATGTTTACTCCTAAGGGTGTAAATAAATTAAAGTAACATACTTGTTCAACTTTTTCACATAAATGACGAGGAGACATTCACAATACACTGATATTTCACATCCTATGATTGGTTTCTTATTTAATCAAGCATTGCTGGTCAACAATAGTTGTCAAAGCCAACAATTGTTGGTTTTTTATTTTTAGTTTTTAAATTTAAACGAGAGGTAGATGATAATTCAAAACATAAATATAATTAATAAGAGATCATTCAAAGTCGTACCTGTAACTCCTGCAAATCCACCGGGCCAAAGTAAGAGCCTCGGGAGAACCAGGAAGTGATTTGGGCCCCAAATGAGAACTCAGCCGGGAGGGAGCAATAGCCATGGCAACCCTCTGAACAGAGCCCACAACACTACGAACATACTGGCGAGCCATTGCAGCCACATTGTCCCGAAAGTGGTTCTCAAAAGTGAATTGGAATGCAATAGTTAGAACAGACCTATGGTTATAACTGCTCAAATCAGCTTCACCAGAAGGACGCACACCGCCATTACCCACTTCAAGCGTAGAAGCCAAATCCAATGTTCGAGTTGCAGTAGGCCCATCCTGCAAAGCAAAAGACTAAATTCAATTAGAAGCTAAAAATAACCAATACAAAACACAATCCTGCTCCATTGGTGAGAGTTTTGTGAGGTAAGTGAGAAATCTTGTGCTCCAGTCATGTAATAACGTGTTACTTAATCAAATGGATAACAGCGTGCCACATGAGTAGCAAGCAATGCAAAAGAGCTCAATAAAGGGTAACATTTCAAGCAAAGTGCAACATCCAAAATGCCGAGTTTGTAAGGCATGTATATTTTCAAAAATAATTTACTATATTTTAATAAATAAATTACTCGATTGCAACAAGTCAAGAGATGTTACTGAACTGGTTTAGGATCCAATGGTATAACACGGAAACCAGAAGGCAGCAAAGGAGCATCGTCAGCAAAGGATTCATCAATAGGAGCAAAGACAAGCTGAGCACAGGCTCCAGCTGCATTCTCATCAACCCCACTGCATAGCTGCCACCATAGATTTAAGTAAAACTTAACAATCAGGAAAGGGCAAAAAAAAATGCAACAGACTAACCCAAAGGATTAAATAAATAGCCGTACCTGCAATAAGTACATATCCCGTGACAAAGCTATGTCCTCAGGGGAAAACACATGACCCTCTAGGCGAACGACCTCCAGAAACTACATCAGGACAAAAAGAACAATAAAAAAACTAGTCTACAATTCCTAGGAGCATAAAACAAAAATGAAATTATTCCAGAAATTTATGGACGAGTTCATTACCTCCTCATGTTCCACAGTATGGGCAAGAGGTAAAATAACTTGACTACAAGGTAAACCACCAGGCCTTGCACAAGGAACTGCATAGGGACTAGATTTCAGGCATGCAGCAGAGTACGCATCGACTCCATAGTCAGCCCACTCGGAACGGTGCTCCCTCAGGAAACGAACAAGCAAAGCAGGGGGAACATTCTGCACAATCAAATGATTAGTAAGAATCTACTAACTACCAAGAAACTCTAAACATTATATACAGGAGATTGGAAAAGAGAAAATATGAAATGCAAACTAGTATGCCAGCCAAATTGAGTACTACTACAACGGAGATATTTCATCAAAAATAGGTCCCACTGGCCATTAAGTTCTTTGGGAAGTACCTGAAGAAGCATCGATGCCTTTGCACACAGCACTCCGCCAAAACTTGGGAGCATTGACAATGTGTTATATTGAGATCCAAGAAATTTGCTTGGTGAGGAGTTTATGGCAATGGTTACATCCTCCACACCATCGCTGCCCATAATAGTCCAACCATCATCCGCAAACCCATTAATAGCATCATTAAACCCCCTGAAAAATGATTCCCAAGACTTTCAGATGGAGGAAATGTGCTAAACCGTAACAAGTGGTAATAAGTATTATATATTGAAATTTCTTGCAAGCCACACCAATTTACCCACCTAGTGGGCAGATTGGTTTAGTCAACTTTTGCTAATGGGCAAGACCTGTTTGACTTGGCCATTTTAAAAAAAAAAACAGTTGACATAATGTGTTTAACATGTCCCCTTTGCCCATGTTTGACAAAATATGAGACGTTGATTGCCTCACCTGCACAACCTCTGACTAAATGTCCTTAAAACAGCAGGTTGGCGGCCCCCACTATACTGAATTTCTCCACTGGTTTCTTGTGCAATTTGCCGAATGTGCCGCAAAGCCTGCATACACGATTTACATCATTAAGACTAGAAGCAAGAAGTGACCGAATTAGTAAACATCCCAAAAGCATGAAGATCTTACAGCAACTGTCATTTTCTGTGCAAGAATTTTCGATGATTCATAGAGTGGCCTCAGAACTTCAGGGACACTCCAAGCCTAATCACAAAACAGGTAAATTCAAGAAACTGAGCACACAAAGAAGACAAAATTCAACTACAAAATAAACTAAAAAACAACTGATTGCATTTAGTCCTTACATCCAAGTCAATGTGATCTACAATGTGGATAATAGACCCCCCACCCTCGCAAGGCCGTATTAGATAACCACTGGGTAGCATTTCGGCTCTTACAAAACATGAAGCAGGAGGCCCTGTTGGCCCACCAGTAGAAGTTGTCAATGACCTCTCGCAGATCTGCAGGTTTAAAATAGAGACGATCAAAGTCGTGACAGTTGCATAAAAGGCACTTTTGAAAATTTAATGATCCACTAATTAACAACTCAATTGAAATCAATTCAAACATGTTTGAACATATCATCCAGTTTAACTATACAAAAGTTGGGAGAGGAGAACCCAGATTATAGCCAAGGGCATGCATGATACTAGTGGGGAAAAACAAGTCATTATGAAACTTAAAAATAAAAAAAAATTTGTGGTGGAGAACATGGTTCCCACATACAAAATGCACTGTTTTAACTTAATCACTTCAAACAATTGTTGGCCATGCTTTGGCTCACAGCTGTATTTAAAAAAAGAACTTAAATCACTTAAAACAATTGTTGGCCATGCTTTGGCTCACAGCTGTATTTAAAAAAAGTAAAACAGTAAAAGAGAGATTACAGTAGGAAAAAAAAAATACAAGGAATTACCACAAGACTCCCATCTTCTAAACTTGTGGTATATCTCAGTGTCCAAAAGTCCCGAGCCACTGCCAATGTTGTTGGTGCGTAAGTCTGTTGAGAAAGGGTTTGAGATAGAAGGTAACCATTCATTAAGTAGAAGGTAAGCATTTCAAAATTTAAAATAGCTCAAACTATATAATTTACAAATAGAAGAAACCTGCATATATATCAGCTCTATTATCCCTCCATTTCCGGTAGGGATTACACTCAATACATCAAGACAGCGGCAATCGCGGTACCAAGATGGACGATCTTTAAGGATTTCAGCGACCTGAAACATAATTGGTTTTATAATTTCTCTTTTTTTTTTCTTTTCTTTTCCCCATGCTATGCCTATCATTAAAAAAAAATAACAAAAACAAAAGACAGCGAAACAGAGTTAAAAAATAAATACCTTTGTGGGCTCTAGGCTCACAAGACCGCAGACTCGTGCTGCTACCCCACTACAGTTGCGGGAAACAGCAACGATTCCAATAGAATCCGGACCAGGCTACAAAGAAATCAAAAGGAATGTTATATATTTAAAAACGAAAATGAAATAAGGGCAGAATAAAGTGTTATACCTTCATCCCAATCATCTGGACCCAGTCGACAGCAGTTCCAGTAGCCTTGGAAAGGAACTCTGCCAGAGTCTCCTCAGCTATTGCGAGAAGACTAATACACACCAAAAGAAAAAGAAGAAAAAAAAGTGAGCTAGGAAAACCAGGAAACTACAAAACGGAGAAATTACTATGCCGTTTAAATTGGCTTAAGAGATCAGAATTGATTACCTAGCTGGGTTGTTAGCATCCCTTTGCGGACGCTGAGGATTTGGGTTTTGCTGTTGCTGCTGATCAGTGATGACCACAGACTCGCAGCTAGTGTCAGTGGTTGCAGTGGCAGATACCTTGCAAAATAAACCATTTATACAAAACACAAGGCAGGAAAAAGAATATAGGATTATCGAATGGGTCTTGCTAACAAGTTCCCCTAGGGTTTTCACTGAAATCAACACACTTTTTAACATTTTCACCTATTTTCAAGACATTTAGCATTTGCCAAAACAAATTAGTGAAAGAATCCAAAAACTGAAACTCTTGTGCCAAATTTTAGGACTTGTAAATGTGACTTTTAACGTTGAACAAGTCAAAAGAAAAAAAATAAATATCAACAAAAGGAAGAAGTGAATGAAAAGAGAGAGACCAGGAAACCAAGACCAACAGCACAAGTATAGGCAAAGGTAGAGAGCTTACAGTATGCAGTTGCTGGCGCATGTATCCATTATCATAAACCAACTGCGAGACCTGCTTCTGCAACCGATCATTCTCCTCCATCAGCAGCTTGTTCATGGCTGTCAGCTTCCTGTTCACAGTCTGGAGACGAGAAGATTCCTTCCTCTGCTTTTCACGACACCTAAAAATTTAAAGGTAAAGCAGAAGAGTACAATAAGAATCAACTCAGACACCTCCAAAAAGTAAGCAGAAGCTTAAATTTTATTTTTATAACTACATTTGCTAAGGTAGCTTAGACCTTTTTTTTTTTCCCCTTTTTTTTGTGTGTTTGGGGATTGTTTTGTCGACAAATGATGAGAAAATCATGATCTAGATAGAGCTTAAGATCTCAGAGGTAGAAGTAAATTTCCAACTGAAAAAACTAGAACACTATTTGGATATACTGGGAATCCCCTCAAAAATAAATTATTCTAATTACATGCAAAATCATCCAATGGAGATAAATGTCTAATAAGAATTAGATTCACCACCATTTTATAGGGTCTTGCTAACAAGCACCCTTGGGGTACAAGAAAAAGACATTTTGTAAAGCACAAGTTATTTTTCACCAATTGCAAAAAACTTTTCATTGAATTTAAAACTTATTGTAACTTTTTGAACGTTTTTAAAGTACTTTTTACACGACTCCCACAATTAGACAATACCATTGGGGAACTTGTTAACATTTGCCTTAACAATATTAAAAGCTAGCACTTCCATGCTTTTAAAGGGCTGTCTACAAGAAATGTTCGAAGTTCATTTCATGTAGATTCACCACCATTAACAAATAAAAGCTAGCACTCCCATGCATTTCAAGGGCTGTCTACAAGAAATGATTGCAAGCGCCACAAAAAGAAAAAATAAAAATAAAAATAAAAAAAGAGGATGGACTTATTCAAATGTTATTAGAAGATAATGGAAAAAATCATTTTGATAGCACATCCAAAAAGTATAAAGAACAATTATTAGAAGGGTTTCCTCAGATTTACTATCTCATTAATACTACCAAATAATGCAGATGTAACAACTTGAAATTGCTCACATCCTAAACACAAATTTCATGGGTTAGTTCACATGAAATTAAAGACTTTTGAGATGTGAAGCTCCAGGCCATGCTTTCCTCTTCATTTGTCAACAAAACAATCCCCAAACGCAAAATACAGGTTGTCAATCAGTGTGCAGCCAAAAATAATGCCTAACCAGCCTTGCCAAATAAAGTTAAAAATAAATGCTAAGCTTTAAAATTAAAGTTTCTTTTGTCTTCATGGGAAAGTAAGTAGAAAACAATAACCTCTTAAAAAAAAGAAAAGAAAAGAAACAGTAGAATCATATAATAATAGTATTTTTTTTTTTTTTGAAAAGCAAACAGATCAGCTGTCAGTATCTTTCATTTAATTTCAGATCTACTCACAGGCAGAACAAACCAATACAAACCCAACTAAAGAGAACATGACTCACTAAAAAAATAACTCAAAGAAATCCAAATGATGAAACACAGAGAAAAAAACAGTAGAATGACACAATGATGTTGATCAAAATAAAACTGATTAGGCGTCATTATATTTCATTTAATTTCAGAACTACAAGATATAGAGTAAACCAACACAAACCATTACCAAGACCACATCATTCATTCCAAAAAGACTATGGGGAAAAAATAAAAACAAAGAAGCAAACAAACAAAACAAAACAATTAAGTAGTAATCTAACTCCAACAACTGCACATATATCCAAACAAAAGAAAGGAGCATGTTTTTCCACTCCAATAAAACCGTCTCTAAGAAGCCACTTTCTCTTCAATACAACCATTAAAAGAAAATGAAACTCAGGCCAGAAAGGAAAACATTTTGAAGAAAATGTTCTGGATAAGTTTCAAGAACCATACAAACCAACTCATATTTCAACCAGTCTTGCCAGTAAAATAAATAAATAACATGGAAAGAATGAGTGACCATGAAAAGTGAAAGACAACACATTTACACCAAAAACAATAAAAAAAATCAAGCAAACCAATCTCCTAACCTCTTCTTTTCCAACTCAAGTTCAAGCCTAAAACATTTTAATATGATAACCAAAAAAAAAAGGCAAATTTTTTGTAAACCCCATTTACAAATCCTTGAAACTCTGACACAGAAAAATGCATCAAAAGAGGAAAGATGACCACATCAATCTGACCCATCTCACTTATTCATTTTCTTCCAACCCATATGACAAAATAACAAAAAGAAAAAAAGAAAATATATGTCAAAAACCCCAGATTTCAACTCTGTACCTCCTAAAAATGACACATTTTGTTGAAGACAATAAAAGAACAAACAAACAAAAAACACACACACATTTTAGATACAAATGTGTAAAATATGCACAGATTTACAACTTTTTGCAGTGTATTAGTAATACCTGCGATTCTGAAACCAGACTTTGATCTGCTTAGGCTCAATGTTAGAGAGAATAGGACACTCCCTAATAATCTGTTGCCTCTTCATAGAACTAGGTTTAGGGCATTCCGAGTAAACCCTCTCTAAAGCCTCAACTTGCTCAGGTGTATACCTCACATACTTGCTCGAATCCATCTGTTTGTTCGACTCTCTATGCATCGAAAGCGCCATTGAACAAAAACCCAAAAAAAAAAGAAGAAAGAAACTTGAAAAACAAAGATCAAAAGAAGCAAAAATAGACAAACCCAGAAATCAAAAAGAGAGTTTTTATTTAGAGAGATTTTAGTGGTTGAAAACACTGAAATGGGGGTTTTTGCATGAACAGGCAGGCTCTCTCTCCTCCAAGAGAGCCTCCTCTCTCACTCATCAGCTTGGGTCTTTCTTTCACTGAAGAAATTTTAGAGAGTTTTGAGCAAAACCCAAGTTGAGAAAGAAGCTTCAACAGGGTCTCTCTACTGGGTCTTTATCTAATAGTAGAGAGAGAAAACAAACCAAACCCACAGAAATATACAAGAAAAAAAAAACCAAGACCCAATTTCTTTTTTCCAGTGATTTTTCACAAAATCAAAAATATATTACTCTTCATATACACACAACTAACTCTCTCTCTCTCACATGTCTATTTTCTATCTCTTTCTCTCTCACTCTGGAAAAAGAAAAGTGTGCAGCATCACTTTCTCTCTCTTCTATTTTTTTGGCAAATTACATATAACCCTCGGGTTTTAGTAAAATTATAAATAATTCTGAAATTTGAGAAATTATAAATATCTCCTAAAAGTACTATTTGCATAACAAATTAGGGGATAAAATATTATAAAAATATAAATTTCAAGGAACAATTTGTTATGAAAATATAAACCTTAAGAGATATCTATAATTTCTAAAATCTCAAAAGTATCTATAATTTAATTAAATTTTAGAGAGAGTAAATGTAATTTATCCTTTTTTTTTTTTCTACATAACCTTCTCTCTCCTCTCTCTTCTGATGATGGATGCGTATGTGTATGCATGATGATACATCAGACATATGTATGTATACTATGAATGTAATGATGTGTGTGAAAGGGCATGCATGCATGAGAGGCGTGAGGAGAGAGAAAATGGTTTTTTTTTTGTGTGTGTTGCTTTTGGGCTTAATGGGTAAACCCGGAAACCCGACCCGGATATTATTGGGTTATTAGTATATGGGCCTGGGATAATGGCAAAGCAAGTCACTTATTGTGTTGTAGGCCATGCTGGCCCATAAGACAAGTTAAAGCCCAATGAATTTTTATATATTTTCAAAATATTATAAGAGGTTTTATTATTTTTTAAATATGATGAGTCATATATAATCATAAATACATCATTAAAAAGATTATGAGAGCAACAATAAGAAGGGCTTTGAGTCTCTCTAACTGACTCTAATGAATCCTAAAAAAATGATGTATTTGAAGACATTTAGTCAGACTTATTTATGATTGGCGTTTCCGTACAAGGTATATTAATTCCTGTACAACAATTTGAGGGGATGGTTAGGCGCCTGTTGTTGTCTTGAAATTTTTTTCTTTGACTAAGAGCTATCAATGTGTTATTGACAAAGACTTCTTTTAAATTGATGTAATATATATCAAGTGATAAAAATTATTTTATTTCATGTAAGAAAGAAGAAAGAATGACCATTGATATGAATGAAAATGTTTATGTCAACCTAGTACAAGATTACTAGGTCAAATTAAGTCCATGTTGGAGTCACCTCTAGTGGTAAGTGTTTTCATTTCATGTGCATGCCATAATGAACTCGATTTAATTAATCATGCTTTTGGGTGTCTAGCTAGGTGTCAAGTGCACTAAAAAAAACTAGGGTTTCAATTCAAGTGACATTACTTTAGTGTTATATTAGGAAAAGGTAATGTTGGTTTAAGGCATAAAACATTAGTAAAGTTTATAGCCTTCACAATAAAAAATAAAAATAAATAAGTGGATGGAGAATTTCAATGTGACTTATGTGTATTGCCAATAACAAGCAATCATGTATGCTATTATTCTTATTTTCATGAAAAATGATTAGCAGGTTAATACATTAGCGAAGTAAACTGTCCAATTGAGCTTGTGAGAATGTTTATGGACTCCAAATGATATAATTTGTTTATTTTGTAGATACATGCAAGTAGATTGTTCATACAAAATCATATTAATCTGATAATTATAACTATATTATTCCAACATATTTTTCTTTGAAAAAATATATAAATAACTTGGCAGACTAGAGATAAGTTTGAGTAATACTACAACGATTATTTATTTCTATCCTCTTATTTATTATTTGATATATCAATCTAATTGTTAACACTATAACGAAAATATATACAAGTTGTGAGACACATTACACTAATATATTGTGTTAACTAATAAGATAATAAATATAATATAATACAAAAATGTAACATTATTGGACAAGCTTACTCCAATTATTAATTATTATCAGATAGTCACATGATATTCCCATAACACACCACCATATAACTTCTCTTTCACAATATCTCAGAAAAAAGTTAGGAATTTGAAGTGTAACCCTAAACCCTATTCATTTTGTGGCTAAGGTCGACCACACACACCAACCAACTACCTTCTCCCTTTTCTTTTTCTTTTCTTTTTTTTATGTTTTTTTGGACAATTGAAAGTGTTTCCCACCACCACCACCTTGCCTTCACTCATAAAAATCAATGAGAAAGAGAGTGTTTTGATGGGTGAGAAAAGCAATTGACTTTTAGATTTCACAAGGTTGACATTTGGCATAAAGTGTTTTCATTTTGAAAGAATCCAAAGCACATAATCACTCCTCAAAGCAATCTTTCTCTCTCTTTCTCTCTCCTTCAATGGATAGATATAGTATAATTAATGGCTTATGATGGGGCTAGCTCAAGGAGGAGTCAATGGATACACAGACTCACTTGGTGTCTTCCTGTCTCTTCCTAGCCATCCATGATCATGAGCCTCTTATCTTTCTTTTTTTTCCTTTCTTTTTCAACAAATCTAAAAACACATAAATCATTATAGAATCAAATACAAAATATATATATATATGAATAACAATAAAATTTTTAGAAATGAACGTCGTTAATAAATCTTTTAAAAATATGAATAACAATAAAATTTTTAGAAATGAACCTCATTAATAAATCTTATAAAATTTTATTTATGCATATTTTATCTTTATTTTTTTTTGTATTCATAGACAAATATGATCATGAAAAGACTCTTTGTATCACTTCCTTTTCTTTATAAATCTAAAGACACAAAAATCCATGACGGAATCATACATAAAATATGCAGACGAATAAAATTTGTTAAAAGTGAATTTCATCAATAAATTCTATAAAATCTTATTTATTCATATGAATTTTGTAATCTTTTTTCTGTTGATAGATATTATTTTTTCGGGAAATTACTTGTCAGTGGAGCAGGGGGACATTTTTTACAAATCAATGAAAAGTATTAACATTTTTTTTATTAAAATATATAAATTTTAACACTAATTTACATTTTGTTTATATAGTACCACTGTGTGGTTATTGCCCTTTGTTTTTTACCTTTACTTTTGGAAGAGAAGGGTTTGGGACAGTTTAGCCCCACCAATGGGGTAGGCCCAATGAGGCATGTTCTCTCATATATATCATCCCATTGCTTGATTCTGCAAAAGTGTAACAAAGGTGGAAGTCCCTTTCAAGCCCCCTACAGCCATAGCCAGAGGAGAAGGGTCCCAAAGGGCCTTTGGGTGGAGGGGTGATGACCCCATTTTTTGTCATGCACCAAAAGAGGTGTTTGAGACTCCAAAAACAAAAACAAAAACAAAAAAGGCCCACCCTCCACATTTCTCACTCTAGATTTGTGTACCTTTTGCTTTGGAATTTTTTTTTTTTTTTTTTTGAGTAGGGAATACTTCAATCTAATACTACAAGCAATCCTATGTGTTTAGAATTTGTACTTGGAAAATATTCATAATATTTAATATGTGATTTAAATTCATTTAAGATATGAGTTTTAGTTGAATCTCCATTATACATTATCTATTTAAGTATATTTTTATATGTGAATTATGTGTATAGAGATTTACTACAATATTATTATACAAAATGCTAACATACAAATTAGAACATTACTATATAAACTAATCATATTCAAGTAAAGTATTGTGAAACGGTTAACCACTAATCCATCTAAGCCTTCGTTTGGCATCCCAATCTTAGGTTAAAATAGTCACAAAATGACAAAATATGTTAAAAACATAATAAGATAAAATATCACATCCAAATCATAATCATTTCATTTTTTCTCTTACAAAAGTCAAAAAAATCAAAAAATTCATCATAAACGAGACTTTTTAGCTTAGGCTAAAAGCTAAAAAACCAACCCACATTCCAAGCGAACCCTAAAAAGATTAAACTAGATAAATGGATAATTTTATGATTTATATTTTCTAACACATTTCCTCACTAATGGCCAGACTCTTATCCATAAATGGCCCACACATGTCTAAATATTTTATCTAATTTGATATTATATTTAATGTCAACTACCAACTCATCTAAAGTAAGTTAACAATTCAACAAACAACCACCTGACAATATTCTTCATGATACCAAAATTCCTCCTTTTTTTCATTTTACATTTCTTTATATATAAACATTTTCTACATTAGGGTCATTAACGACAGGAGGCGTAAAGGTAAACAAGAAAGAGGAGGAAACCCAACTTTTTCAAAAATGTTACATTCTCAAAATAATAATAATAATAATAATAATTTTAAAATATACAGATCATATTTATTGTAAGTATAATTTACACTATACCAACTATAAATTTGCACTATTTATAAATTTTTGTTCTTTTGATTTTACAATCATAACATTTCTCCATCTAGATAAGATGATGGTTCATGTGAGGGGAAAATCTTAATACATTTGCTACTAATTATAGCACAATATAATATACTTGCTATGATTAGGAATTAGGAGTGATAGGAAACATGTAAGAATGTTATTGGTCAAAACCTCATAAAAAGAGCAAAAAGGAAGGGAAAAGATTTCATGGCATTTTAATAAGATAAGAGAGAGTGGACATGAAAACATTCCCTCCATGCATTACATATATCATATATGTTGGCCATGTCATTATTATATATGCATACTATATATGTGTGTGTGTGTGTGTGTGTGTGTGTGTGTTTATTCAACAATTACTATTACTAGAGGTTAGTGTGTATGATGATAATAACCTCTTTACCATGATGAGTATGTTTTCATTATTTGTTTAACTTGATGTTTATTGCTTGTAAATGACTTAATACCTTGGTCAAGTTTCAACTTTTTATTTTCTTTTTGTTTTATTTTCTAGATACCATCTTATGTTTGAGTTATAATTTATATGTGGGCGGTAACATAAATCAAGTTATTTAAGTTTGATTTGTATTCCACTTGTTAAAAATTAATTTGAGATCGGTTCATTATCATGAAACATATGACACCAGAATAAAATGAAAGATGTTATACATTATCGAATTTTTTACTAGATTTTTCTGGTAAAAAATTTATTATTAGACACAAAAAATGAGTCTCAAGTATATTTATTGTGGCCTCCAATGATAAAAACAAATAAAGTAAAAAATTATTTATGTACAACATTAGTCAAATAAAATAAAATAAAATACATAAATAAATATATTTGTACTCACACACATGCATGTATCTATACTTTAATGTTGAAGAGAGAGTTCTCATAAGGAAAATGTGAGGGAACTGTTTGGTATTTAGTTTAGTCTTAATTTATCATATGGGTTGAAAAGTAACATCATTGGTGATGAGAATATCAAACAAACAAATAGTAAGCAAGTACTACTACATGGTATAGTCCATTAGCCAACAACCCAATTTCTAGATAAAAGAGATATGAGAAAATCATGCATGTTCTAAAGAGACAAATCCAGGAGAATGTTAGAAATATTTTTTTGTTTTTTTGGCAAAATGCAAATGATACAAGGGTTGAAACTAGGGATTGAGATAAGATATACCAAACACAAAAGAAAGTAATTGTGGAATGGGTTGAATTTTGAGTAACCAACACCTCCTTGATGGAGAGATAATTGGGATATCATGTTGCTTTGAATAAGACAAAGACATATTGGTCAATATAAAAGGCCACTCTTTTGACTTCCAATTCATTTATATTTGGATAAATTATATTTTTTTTTCAATTAAAAAAAATACAATTAATTCTATACTTTTAACATAATTATACTGATTTTCCTTCAAGTATGACTAAAGCGACTTAAACTAATATAAATAATAGATAGATACTGAAATAAACAAAGATAACATATATTTTAGTTAAAAATAGATGATAATATTATTTTTTTCATTCACACAACTAATGAATTATTAATGAAAAATGATTTAATTATTATGAATTGATTAAGAGAGACCAGTGTAATACTATATAAAATGTAGAGTTACCGTATGCTCTCCAAAGGTAAGTATAACTTACCCTTTATATTTTATTTTTTTTACTAGTGAATATAGGCTATCATATATATGACACTTTTATAATGGGTATTGTCTACTATTTAATTTGCTTAAAATAAGGCAAAAGGTAATTTGGGAGGAAAAAAAAGGTGATTAAGGTAGTTCTACCAAATACCCACAACAAAGTTGATCTTTGCTATAATTATTTTTTGACTTATACGCATAAATAATTCACAAAGGTTATCTAGTGATTGTTGTGTGTGAGAGAGACAACCTCATTTGATTAGATTTTTTTTTTTTTAAAAAAAAACATATAATATATGAAAAATAATTTACAAACAAAAAAAAATTATCAAATGATATGACAATGATAATTTTAAAATAATAAACTATTTTATTAAGACCTCAGATTGATAAAAGCCATTACCACTTAGCCAGCACATAAGTACATATATATACAAAGAGGCATGGACACAAAAACAACATCCATGAAAAGGCACAAAAAGCCCAAGACCATCAAAGAATACATATATATACAAAGAGGCATGGACACAAAAACAACATCCATGAAAAGGCACAAAAAGCCCAAGACCATCAAAGAAACCATATAGCTCAAACATAAAATTAGAATGAAAAAAAAAAAAAAAATTACATAAACTATCAATATTAATTCAAGATTAGTCGAGGTGCGCCTTTAAAAATATATATATATATCTAAAGTTTAAATTTTTTGTAATTATGACTTTAGTCTAACAAACTTGGTTTTTGTAAGTTTCTTCCAAATAAAATAGCACTTGAAATTTGACACTTTGACCCAAAAAAGGAAAAAGAAAAAAATAGAAATTAATAGGTCAATTTGAACAAAACAGACCCTTGCTTATTGATTCAAGCCTTTAATCAATGAGAAACACACTTGTTGCTTGACCAAATTAAAACTGATTTTTTTTTTATTTTTTTTTTTCAACAAATCAGACTTAAAATGTAAAGACCATATTATTAAATCAAAATAATAAAGACCAAAACTGTAATTTACCTTTTAAAAAATTATACATTCTGCATAAAAATGAAGTGCAATAAAAAAATGTACAATTTTTTAAAACTTCCTTAACATATATACTAAACGAACACGTTGACAATACCCTATTTGACATTTGAAAGGACTTCTTGTTAAATGCTTTGTAAAATGAGTTTTGGCCCTTCATTATAAATACACAAACGTACTTATTGTAGCCAACAAGCACTTCCAAAACCATTGTACAACGGTCCCCAAACAAAGCCTTGGAATCTTCAAACATCATCTTCTGCTCTTGAGAATAACAAGATCAAATTCAACTAAGCATAACAAAAATAATCTAGTTAGGTTGTGTTTGAATCAAGGATTCAAAAAAAATCTAGTTAGTTTGTGTTTGAATCAAGGATTTAAAAGGTATTTGTGTATGAAAAGGAAAAAGGAAAGGAGAAAGTAAACAAATAAACTTATTATATTTCATGAACTTTTGCCTTACTTTTTCCTCCACAAAATCCTCCTCAAATCCTTAATCCAAACACAACCCAACTCTCATAAACAATCACCCCACTAGAATTCAAAACCCAATTTCAACTAAAACCATTCAACTTATTCAGTATATTAACAACAAATGGGGATGCAATGGCTCAAGTACAAAGTTGTCCACAGCAAACTCAACCATCACTCCCTAGGAAAGCCCAACCGACCAAAGAGCTAAAATAATAATAAAATAAAAAAGCTACACAATGCACGAGTCTCCCGCTAAAGCAGAGTATAAAAAAACCATTGTTATAGAAGTAACTCTCATTGCACTTCTAAACACTAGATCCTACTTCTATCTTCGCAACCTCGCTACAAGCTACTACTTAGAAACCTATAGTATACACACTACCGAGCTAAGACTAGTTTAAGTTGTTTTTTCTGTAGTTTCCTACGCATCGTTCTTCTTATGGTGTTCCCCGTTACATGCACAGTACCAGCCACTGATTTTAAAATATATCAGGATGCATTTTCTGATGGAGCACGATCATTTTTGTCACAGTTGAGATTGATATTGGCTTGTGATTTTTTGTCACCCGAGGCTGCCTCTTTCTGGTGTTGGCTTTCGGCCTTCTTTGAATTGAGGAAACGACCTCCACACCCTCTTGCTCGTCTCAGTGCATGCTGATGTCGAGATTCATGCAAGTATGGCTACACGACCAGTTTGAAATGTAAGCCTCGAAAGGATCATGTTCAAAAAAACATAGGGGGATTTGAATCTAAAATAAGGAGACATCCTCTCAAAGTTATCCAGAGAAGCAATACTAAGGATGCTTTACTGTTCACCAGGGGAAAAATCTTAATCAAGTTATTTCAAACCTATGCACCCTAGACAAACACAACCATGACATGATGCAGAGTGCAGACACACTGACACAACCTATGAAGCACTGACACTTCAAAATAGGTGAAATGTCCATGTCGAACACGTATGACAATACCAACACCCAGGAGACACGTCCAAGGACACATGTGTCCACGTGTTGGACACGCCACATGGCATGTCAATTTTTAAGAAGTGTTGTTATAATGTCAACTTCATGAACACACATGTTCTGTGTTCGGAGTTTTTTTTTTTTTTCAAATTATAAAAGATGATTTAGTGTCAAGGTAAAATAGAAAAAATTAGAGGGAAGTTTTTTAAAAAAATATACCCACATAAATATTGATGTCTATTATATTTTTGTGCTTCTTTCAAAATTGTTGTGTCCCGTGTACAATCCATGTATGTGTCCATGCTTCTTAAGACACCAAATCCTTAAAAAAGGTACAACACAAACAGCAAGGACAGAGCAAAATATTAGTGTATTTATATATGCTTTACGCAAGAAGGGGTTACTAGTTCAATGGTTAAAACTCAACCTAACAACCTTGAGGTTGTGGGTAACCTTAAGGTTGTGGGTTTGAACACGAGGATATATTATATAAGTAAATTAAGACACTTGATATTTCTATAAAGTTGCAAAATGAGGAAAATGAAACACCACAAATATCATGTATGTAGTAATACACACTCCTACTTGCTTTATTATTGCGTTTTTATGTTTTTTTTTAATTATTATATATCTTTATTCCTTTGTTAAAAGTTGTCCACTGTATACTCTATGTTGGTCATACATATGATCTTTTTAGAAAAGTTTCAACTTACAGTAGACATGCGTAAGTTGCATTCTCAAGAATACTTAACATTGTTCATGTTAAGAGATTCATCACATGTCATGTTGGGGAGTGTGTCAGAAGTGTCGTTAAGTGCCCAACTGCCCAAAAATTATAGAATTCATTTTATATAAGCTCGTGTTCAAGAAGTGGACACATTTTTAGGAGTGTCCAAGGAGAGCCAGTGTCCAACACAGACATGGATCCTCCTTAAAGAGTGTCCAACATGGACTGAATGAGGCCACAGAATCAGCAAAAGAGCCATAGTTAGAAGCAATGACGGGAAAAAATAAAATAAAAAACTTTGTACAAACTGGCTCGGATCAATGAAAAAACTTATAATAGCATCAAACACAGGAGGCAAAGATAAAAAGCTCATGCCATACCTTCCTAGACTTGGTAACTTTATTCACTGATTCAGCTTTTGCACGAGATTGTCGACGCCGTAAGATGCCATGATATTGTTTTGCATTTACAAACACAGGCTCCTCAACTGCATCAGATGGCAAAGGAACACCAGATTGCTGGATTCCCATGAACTGAAGGTGGACCTGAAACAATTTCTTGTCAAATAATCACAACTCAGAAGATCCAAATTACGATAAATGTGCATTCCGAGTGCCAATGCCAACTGCCATATTTTCAAGGATCTATGAGAGTACAAAGTATGCAACAAGAAAAGAAACATACCACTGGTTGCGTGACTTGCGCAGGAAAAGGCTGTGCAGGATATGGTGGTGTATCATAGGGAGCAAAGATGCTTCTATAATAAGGATCTGGATATGGGTAAGCTGCTTGTCCCTGAGACATATAATCCTTCAATTAGATCAGCCAAAAAAGGAAATAAATAATGATTAAAATTTCACGTTATACCATGTAGGTAAAGTATTTCAACCTTAGTTGCACGAAGCAAGTACATGTTTCATCACCTTTATTTGCACCATAAAACATCTTAGTTAACTCAACTCAAGAAATCCTCATCGCAATTATTGGGAATCAGCTACATTATCTTGCTTCACCATTTTGCTCTATTAAAGGTCATAGCTTCAGTTAAACCACACACTACCATTTCCTCCTTTACTATCTCAACACATGCTAATTTTGGTCTTCCTCTTCCCTAGCACTACCCCCACTGTGGATATCATTATTCCTACTCAGTGCAGCTATTGGTATTCAATGCACATGGCCAAAAGATTTTAGTTAACTTTTCCTGATTTCATCTCCAAAGGCGCTTACATCCACTATATCGTGAATTTGTTCGTTCCTAGATTTATCTTTTCTCACCTTACCATATGCCCATCTCAATATATCCGCCCTTCAGCCATGCTTATTAGAAGAATATGTTTTTAGCTTCCAGTATCATCACTCTTTTAAAGTATGACCACACTTCCAGCCTTCTTATAGAATCTTTGAATTTCATAGATAATGTCAATCACACAATACAGTAAAAGCATTATTCCACTTAACCTATTATAACAATCTCTTCTTCCCTTTGTATCATCAAGCCCTGGGATGGAAATTATTCACTTTTGGGTATCTCCTACTTCTATCCTTACTACTCGTTCTTTTATTTTTATTACCAAATATATTTTAAATTTTAATCCTAGTTATCTTAAACCCACTTGATTTTAGAGCAACTCTTGAAACTAATAATTTTAGAAGTTTCCTCTGCATCACTCAACATAATATCTTTAACAAATAGCATGCATCACATAACCTCAAGTTGAATGGTTTTAGTCATTCATCCACACCTAAGACAAAGGATGAGCTTTAATGCTAATCCCTGATGTGAAACTACAATGGTTGGGAATTCACAAGTTTCTCCTACAATTATTCTTAAAGCAGTCATATGTACATATCTTACATTACCATGTCAATTTGTGTACATGTGATTCTTTTTTTTTTTTTTGGCTAAATATGTCTGTGGGGACCCTAATATAGGCTTTTTCCATGAATATAAAAACCATATGAAGGCCTACAACAGTGCCATAACGAGCCTAACTACACCTTTCTCAACTGAATCTATCACTCCACCATTCTACACCAAGAAACATAACAATTATATTTGTGGTTCATTATGAAACCTTCAAAGTTTTTCACTGATTGGTTGTCATCCAAAAGTCACCCCAGAAAAGGACATCTAAACTCCCAAGCAGAGCATAAGTGGAAAATGAGAAGTGATCCATGATAAAAAAATTCAACTTGAGAGATTGAGGTCTTTACCAGCTACCCTAAACCACCACTCAAAAGTTCAAAAATGTTTCATCCAATTGCTCACTATCCCAGAACATGATTTAAAATGGCAAAGGGTTACAAATGTTGTCTGCCATCCCAGCACTCCCTAAGAATTCTAGAAACCACCCCATTGATCAAAACACGAAGTAGCAAAAATCCATCATCAGGTCCCAATTTCAACCACACCCGAAAAACCCATTCACCACTAATAACAAGCAGGAAAATACTCTAGTTGACATTATCACAAGCCCTCTTCACATCAAAACAAACTGAAGTCAAACTCAAAGTTCTCTTCATAATCAATACCCTCAGTTGCAATAAGAATTTTCAACAAAATTTTGCTGTGTTTTAAAGCAAATGGAAGGGACATCTTATAAAGCTTATTGATCTGTGAACAGTTTCGCAAGGCATCTAGACACTATTTATGAGGTTGACTGGCCAAAATTCCTAATCCCAATTTCCACAAAACTAGACTGATGAAAGCGGCGCCCAATCAGTTGAGTTACTGACTGGATCCTACCAAAAACAATTCAACCAAAACCAGCATAATGACCCTACAAATAATACACCAGCTAACCAGTAGCAATTGAAAAGTCATGGAGAAGTAATCAACACTCGTGACTAATCCCCACTCAATTAATCTTCTTCAGTTTCCTAAACTCTTTAACTTAGCTTTAGGTGCAACCTGATTGGCCTCTCTTGCTCTTATAGAATTACAACTCAAATCTTTTCAATTCGATTATAATCAAAGATCCTATAACAAAACCATTAATACTACTAATAAAACCCTGTTCTATTGTCTTGAATTCCTCCTAATTGATAAAATTGGCCTCCCTTTACAGGAAAAAGGCTCCCCACTAAACCTCCACCTACTCCAATAACTGGGAGCTTCTCCAAAAATATTAAAAACATCATATCATCAAATTAAAGAATAGGAACAATGGTCTGAGGCCAGCTTCAGAACAGAATGGCCACAAAAAATGGAAAAGGAAAAAGCTTCATAAAGACATCTCTCACTCTTAATTCTGAAAAGAATGGCAATGTCCAATGGACAACAGATACAATCAAGAAAACACATTAAACCAAGACGACTCTAGAAGTGAAATTCATCATAATTACGGGGTCCAGTGGTAGTATTCATAAATATCAACATAAATATTAAGAATTGCCATTTCCAATAGTACCATAGTATTTCCTGGTCCCAGTTGTGGAGGTGTCGCATATTGAACATTTGGCGGCGTAAGGCCAGGATAAGACATCCCTGTCACCGGAGCTGAAGACTGAACTTGGGTTTCCGAGTGCTTTTGCTGCCCCTCAGCCTCACTATCATCTGAACAACCAGTAAAAGCAATCGAATTAATATATTAAACAATAAACAATCTACTACTCCATTGCAAGCAAGTCAACCAAAGACACCAAGTTTAAGAGGAACACAAGCCATGAAAGTCTAGTATCATAAGCAAATTGAGGTATTGGTGTTTATTTGTCGCAACAAAAAATGACCCAAAGAAGGACCAATTCAGGAAAAGGATTTTTTTTTTCTTTTTTTCTTTTTTTTTTTGGACCAGCAACCAAGAAAAATTTATTAAAAATAGAAAAAGAAGGAATACAACAGAGATCAAGAAGACAAGAGGTCCTCCAAAAAGAAAATAAACAAAATTACAAATCACATATATCTCTCCAATCCATAGAAATCAAAAACATAGAAACCCCTTCAAAAGGGGAAGTCACTAAGCCCAAAAAGAGGATAAATAATAAATCTTATCTTCAAAAATTATTGCATTGCTTTCCAACCATATAATCCAAAGCACTTCACAAATAGCACAAACCCAAAGACCTTGGGCCCTCTTAATGGAACCAAACCCCCCATAATCAATGACAATAATGACAATTGGAAGGGGGAAAAATGACATCTGTACCCACAGCCCCATCAAATTTTCAGTCCCTGGACAATAACCAATATATCAACAATTCATAAAGAGAAACAACTGACACTCAATTCTAGTGTGGAAACAAAACCTGACACGCCTATTAGCATTAAACAAAATTATTTGGGCTTTTCAGTCAGCTTTATGCCAATTCTAGTGTGGAAACAAAACCTGACACGCCTATCAGTGTTAAACAAAATTATTTGGCTTTTGAGTCAGCTTTATGGGTCACATAATCATCCATTGAAGTTTTACAGATTATTTAGGAAATTACCAAATATTCAGGGAATGTCAAAACTGAAGTGATCCAATTTTTACTGCCAAAACCATTATAGCTCAGAGGTTACAGTGCTGTGAAAGCATTATCCAAAAAGGTTGGGTTGAAGATTCAACTCTTATGGCTTGTCAACCAAGGTAAATCAAATTGTACCACAGCCATGTTTTGAGACATTTAAATCTGATTGGACACCATAAGCAGTTGAAGTGAAATTTTTCTTTAACCACTCGAATCGTTTAGTGAAGTATACCCAACATTTAATTCATTAGAATTTTCAATACCCTGCACTATCGAGCAACCATAAAGGAAGAATATTTTGCTTCTACTTTTGGTCAGGTCAAGCCAATTTGTGGGACTGAAGCTGTCATGATAAATCCAAAACTTCATGCTAAAACACCTACTAATTTTGCTGCAAAAAGTTGGTGCCATCTTATGGGAAAACCACAAAACTCAACAAAGTTACTAGCAAAGAACACATGAATATGATTACACATATATCACCTACTAACGATGCATGGACTTCAGCGTGCATCTTAAATGCAGTTTACTTCTAGATATCAAATTGATTGACCACCAATTCTTAGTTTTGTGGAAAATCTGAAGCATCCTAGCATCCCAATGATGGGTATGGAACTGCTTTGAGAAGTACATCGAGCATATACGGGTGAAATTGCAAAAAAGCTAATCAATTGACTAAACTATAAAAGATTCTGACAGCTATATCAAAGTCAATCCTTTGGCATGGTCAACCCAAAAAGATTGCATATATAAAATAAACAATGATAACGAAAGAAATGAATCTGATCAAACTTGATGGAGAAGTACCAGAGAGATCATGAACAGAAGAAGGCATGATGTTGTCACACACAAAATGCCTGAACTCAGATCTGGCAGCAAAACAGTATATTCCAGGTCAGTTTATGCCAAAACATAATTGTAAATAAGTACTTTCAAAATTAAACCAACATCCAAGCAAACAAAACATGCTTTACTACAAAAACTATGTGAAAATTATGATTTTAGAGGGAGAATCAGAATCTGAAAGTATGGTATACCAGTTAAATGAAAAGCAATCACAATTACCAGTATCCAGGTTGCAGAACCATCACACAGACCATTAAAAAAAAATGGAAGAAGGGGAAAGGATTAGTATTCAAAAGAACAAAAGACAACCTTTAAGAACCAAAATATTTTGTATTCTAACCTTAAGGACAAGATAGGCTATAAACATTTTCAAAATTTACAAAATTTTGGGAAACAAAAAAAAAAAAAGTGTTTTCAATTGTTTTGTCATACAATTTTCATTCCTACTCCATCAGCTCAAAACCTCACCTCTAGCAACCCCTCCACCCCCAGACCACCCCCCACACTTTCGGGCACTTCCAAGCATGTTTTCTTTTTCTTTTTCTTTTTCTTTTTTATTATTATTATTATGATTATTTTTGAAAACATGTGTATATCAAACACGTTTTTTGTTTTTGTTTTTAGCAAAAATAAACATTAAAAAAATCATTTTAATGTAAACAAAAAGAACAAACTATCAACGTTACCAAACACTACTAATAAATGTTTTTGTTGCCAAAAAAAATGTCAACAGTTTTCAGATAAATGGAAAAAATGTGAGAACAAAAAAAAAGAGTTTTCACTTGTTTTAAAACAAGTTTGCATTCCCTACCAACCAGTTACCCCTCGCCCTCCAGCAACTCCTCCCTTCGATAATCTCTTTTGTCTACTTCCCCCTGTGACAACTCATCAAACATGTTTTTTAGTTTTTACTTGTTTTGAAAACATATGTGCGTTTCAAGCTTCTTTCTTTTCTTTTTCTTTTTTTTAATGCGGTAAAAGAAAACATGTTTCCTATTTTTTGTTTGCAAACAAAAAAAAAAGAAAAGTGGCAACACCACCAAATGGGCCCTAAATGAACGTAACCTACATTAAAATATGATTCTTGTGAATCATAAATGGTATTAAAATGAGAGAGAGACACAAGCTTACACCCAGAAATCAGAATGCGAAACAAATTTGTGTGAATATGTATATATGTTGCTAAATATGAAATATGAGCCTAAATGCCTCTGGTAAATTAGAAGATGTCTTCATAATATGTTGATGTAGTATGGCTCTCAGAAACAAGAATAAATCAAATTCAAAAACTGAATACTTTACTATATTAGCTTATAAGAGGTTTCGAACCAATCTGTGAGTTTTCCTTGCTTTTTACACTTTTATGAAGTTCAGTTACTTCCATCAAATTTCCAAAACGACAGAATCGCTCGTCTTATTTCATTCCACTTTTGCATCTCTTCTCATAATGGTAATAGGCTGCGGTTTCACCGCAGACATGGTATGCCTTTGCCTACAGATAGGCCTCTTATAAGATATCCCAATTTTTTCAGTCCATAGTAACATAAAATATATGCAGCGATCTCACGTAACAACACCTTTCTACCCAAAAAATTATATGAATGTATATATACAGTAACGCACGCGAACATATATATTAGCCAAATTAACTACTAATACTCATTCTGAATTCAAGAATGTGTTTTGCCCATCAACGACAGCAAATCCCAAACCAAAATCTTCTTGGCAACTACTACTAGTAATAATTTCAAATCAGTTAAAAGAAGAACTGTAAATGAATCAAATCACTGTAAATGAATCAAATCACACAAAACCCAAACCAAAATAACCAAATTAACAACTACTCACCGGAAATCCCAACCCAAAATCATCTTGGCAACCTACTAGTAGTAATTTCAGATTAGTAAAAACAAGAACTTTAAATGAATCAAATCACACAAACCCACACATGAAAGATCACCAATAATCAACCAGATGACTAAATGCACTTCAAATAACAACAACAACTCCAATTCGGCAATTCCCTCACCAACACTACGTTCAACATCAATACAGCCAATAAAAAAAAATTCACCCAAAATCAATGATATAATCTAATTGGGTTCAGTCAACCGACGGTAATTCTCTTCAATTTTCACTCCTGAGAAATTTTCTCAGCAGCCAAACAGAAATATTAAGAGAAAACTGAGAGGAAAATTAGGGTTTTTTGTTTGTAAAAAAATTCGAGATTTTAGAGCTCACCTCTTGTTTTGTGGATGAATTTTCAGGTGCAAATGGTTTTCTGTGCTCCCTCTCTCTCTTTCTCTCTCTCTCTCTCGCTCTGTTATTTTTCTCTGTGCTTTTATTCTCTGCCGCTAACAGAAAATTGTTGGAGAGAAATAGGGAAATACTCAGTATCATATGGAAATCATAATTAAAAATTTTAATATAATTTTAATTTTTTGCATTATATTTTTAAAAAATATATTATAATTAAAAAATAATATGAGACATAACAAAAAAAATATAATTATAGTAATTTTAAAAAATTAGTCATAACTAAAAAATAAAATGACATAACTAAAAAACGTATATGATACACCGTTTTTTTAAAGGGAAGTATATTAATATTTTTCTATATTGTATGTGTATGTATTGTATTTTTCTATTATTAATTATATTTTAAATTTTATATTAATTTTATTTCAATATTTAAATTTTGTCAATTTAATTTTTAAAATAATTTTTAATGATCCTTTTTTTATTTGATCTATATATCACAGAAATCAATGGATTATACTTATAGTAATGAAGATCAAATTAATACGAAGAAACTCTTAAAATAGGAGGAAAAATCTCAATAAATACACCGAAAATAGGAGAAAAAATCTCAATAAATACACGAAAAATAAGACTTATACACAAGTGAGAATTTCTAATAATCTTTAAATTAGGTTGTTTGTATCATTTTTGTTTAGGGCATGGCTTCTGCCCAGTCCGAGTTGGGCTCGTGGAGGCCCATCACGGGTCTTGTTTTGATAATCTGAACCGTTTAATGTGTAGAACTCGTCGAGTACTATATATTTATGAAAAAATCACTTTAATTGGATATCGATAGCTATGTGATCAAATCAGTTTTGTATAAAAAAATGGACAGTGAATAAATTAACGGTTGACAAAAATCTGTTTTGATCACATAGCTATCGATATCCGATCAACGTGATTTTTATTAAGTATATAGTACTCGACGAGTTCTACACATTGAACGGTTCTGATTATCAAAACGGGACCTGTGGTGGACCCCCACGAGCCCAACAGCACAGTCCAATCCGATTAAGGACTGGACAGAAGCCATTCCCTTTTGTATATTTAAATTCTGTCAACATAATTCTCAATATATAAAATATGTTTCAGTTTGATCCCTAACATAATTCTATCCATAGTCACTATTAAATAAATGTGAAAAATCATTTAAAAAATTACACTTTTAGATCTCAGAATATATGATTTATGTACTAAAATGGCATATCTATTCCTAGATTTAACAGCATCTATTAATAAAATTATATTAGGGATCAAATTTAAATAATTTTTATATATTGAGGACTAAATTAATGGTTTAAGCATTAAAGACTAAAATGACTAAAAACAAATAATGACTACAAATATCATATTTTAATGACTAAAAATATGATTAATTCTTTATTTTTTGTGTTTGTGAATTTATTTATTTTTTGTTGGTAAATTGCAATTTAGTGCATGTTTTTACAGAAAAATCAAATCAGTGGTAAATTTTACCAATTTTAATAATTAAAACTATAAACTTTTTATCAATTTATAAATTTTTTGTGAATATATTTCTAATTTATTTTTTTCTTTTTTTTTTAAAATGTGTGTTTGAAAGATGAGAAAGTTTCGAAATTGTAATTTATATTTTACAAGCGTACATTCACGCAATCTATTTTTTTTTCTAAATTCCGGCCTTACTTTGTCAGTGACTAAAATTGTTGGGTGCTCTTTGTGCCAATGTACAATTTTTTAAGTTCTACTAAATTATAATTGATAAAATATATAAATATCCCCTGTTATATAGATTTGAAAAAGTTTAAAATATAAAAATATATTAACTTTTATAATTTTTTTGATTGAATTATTTTTAACTTTCAGGGTTATTTAGTTGATACAATCTGAAAATTGGAAAAAAAAAATAATAATTTGTCCTAATTTTTTTTCAAAAAAAATATTAAAGACAAAATAAGTGAACAAAAATAAATAAATTATAATCTTATGGCCTGTTTGGAAGTTTTTTTTTTAGTGACTTTTCAGTTTAAATATGAGACCAAAAAAGTAAACATATTTGGAAATATTTTTAAAAATTCTAAGAAAAAAATGCACAAAGTTGAGTGAAAATGAATAGATTTTTAATTTTTTTAAACATTTTACTAATTTTTTAACTAAAATAATATCTTTCCATAAGAACCCTTACATTAGAGCCACATGATTTAAAAATATTGAGTTTTGTCCATTGGGATACTCAAAAAATTCATTAGTGGTTCGTCTTCTACCGTCTTATTATACATTTAGATTATTAATGAAAATATTTTTTTTCTCCAGTAATTATAACTATGTTATTTTGTCATAGTTATTTTCAAATAATTACCAATTATTTATTAAATATAATTTTTATGTTTTAAATGTGCATTTATTTAATTTCATTAAGTATATAGTTGTTGATAGAACTTATTAAAAGAAATAGATTTATGTAACCTACCCACTTAATTATAACATCATATTTGATTCATTTTTTATTTATTTTACGATTAAAACTGAGGGCATTAAATTTATATATTATTATTTTTATTTTTATTTTTATATTTTGTGTGTGTGTGTGTGTGTGTGTGTGTGTGTGTGTTTAGGACAGGTGGTCCTAGTCGTGGCCAATGTTTAGGGCAGCGAGGCAGACAGATGGGAAAGGGGCAGTTTAGGCCACAAGTTTGGTTGGCCCACATGCCTCAAATGTTGAAAAGTGTCCCGTTGGTGGTCCGTGTGATTTTTTAAGATGATTAATTAGTATGTTTAAGAAAATTAGTATGTTTAATGTAGAAAAATTAGTATGTTTAAGATAATGTTTAAGATAATTTTTTAATTTTTTATGAAAAATATATAAAAATGGTGAGAAAACAAAATTAGAAAAAAAATAATAATTTTTTTTGGTATAGTTTATTAGTTTTTTTTATTTTTTTATAATTTTTTGACTTTTAAACTAAAATGCACACTTCTCAAATGGGGGGCCAAAAAGTCATTATCCAAAAAAAAATTATCTTTATTTTTTATAGTGCTGTTAATAGCACCTACCAAAATTCTTTGGACCCCCATTTCTTTGGACCCCAACCCTAAATCCTAAATTTTAATAATATTTTTTTGGACACCCCACTTATTACCAAATCTACCCATATTCATAACATTTTCACAATGAAATGCACACTCACCTAATTTTTTATCCAATCCTAAAACAACCCTAATGAAAATAAAAGAAAAAAACAGATGATACTCGGATGTTATTGCATGCTGGGTGGTTCACAGTGACCGAAAGAAAAGAAGACATAATAGCCATGGCCATGGACTGTTCATCATCATCGTCTACTTGTTCAATTTTCAGTCCATATATGCGAATTCTTAGTGTGCCATTATTATCAAAACCTATAAAAAAATTCAATCACATTCATCATCATCATCAAGATGAGCGTACAGTGGGCGGTGTTGGACGCCCATTGCTTCTGTATCGGCACTTCCAAAAGAATCCATCATCATCAGAATTCTGAATGTATCGCCATCAGAATTCTGAATGTAGCCCAAAATAATTTGTTCACCACTGTGTAGCCAAAAAAATGTATTTTGTTCAGAACTGTTTTGTCGAACAATAATGATCCTGTCAGCACTGTATGTCCGAACAAAATTTGTTCATCACTGTGTAACTTGAATCCATTCAAATTCACAACTTAAAATAACATGAATTAAATCCATTCAAAATACATAACTTAAATCATTCCAATTCACTCTTTTCCATTCTAAGTTAGTTTAACAAATAAAATTACATAATTGACTATCTGCATTAATGTTCGGAACCTATGTATTGAACGAGAGGATTATGTTCAGTATTATATTACCGAACATAATTCTAACAGTCAGCAAACCAGTACCGAACAGTTCGAACGAAACAAGAACTACCGAAAATGACCGAGAATGTTAATACAAGACAGATAAACTTATTAATGAAACGCCGGTCTCACTAGAATTGTTGTCCTCGTCCTCCATTGCTCTACACAGTGAAATAAGTGATGAAGTATACGTTATATGTGAAGCGAACTTTCAAGTTCAATAGTGTTGATGATGGTGATGAATATGACACATTCAGGATTTAAGATGATTATAAAAAATAATAAATTTATGGTTTATATCAGTTGGTTATGAAAAGTAATAGGTTTAGGGTTTACAAACATGGAATACTTATAGTTGGAGTTGGAGGTGGTGGTAGGGGTGGGGGCGGGTGTCCAATATTATAGAGTATTAGTTCTTATTGATAGATGGGTGTTCCAGTTAATAATGTCTTATAATGTAATTTTACTTTAGGGTATAATTGTAATAAAAAAAATTATAAAATGGGAGGTCCAAAGAATTTTGACAGGTGCTAATAGCAGCACTCATTTTTTAATGTCTCTTCGTAAAAAATAAAAAATAGTAATTAAAATAGTCAATTATCAAAACAATTTTAGGGTTTTATATTTTTACTCAACGAGACAAATTAATTTTTTTAAAAAAAGTTCATTTGAAAAAAAGTCCAAAAAACAAAAATAAGCAAAAAAAAAAAAAAAAAAAGATTTTTCTAACTTATTTTTTTTATTTTTTCAATTTTCTTATTTTTTAGACTCATATACACAATATGGGTAAAAATAAAAATAAAAAGTTAAGTAATTTTTTTATAAAAAAAGTACTTATTTGGGAGACTCCAAACAGAAAGTACAAAAAAAGCAAGTTACAATGTATAAAAAAATATATTATTCTTACATTTTTAATATAATTATATTCTTTTTTTAATAAAATTAAAATTATCAAAATGAATACAAATGATGGGTAAATACTTAAAATGGTTATTTCTTAAGTTTTCCTATAAAATAACCATTATCTTAAAATGTAGGGTTGAACAAAGAATCCGTGAAACCCATAATCCGATCCGGTTTAGTCCAATTCGGTAAGTTTGAATTGGTTTTTTGAATCTGTTGTTCGGTTTTGGATTGAAAAATTAAAAATCCGTAGTCCACGGATCGGTTCCGGATTGAATCCCACGATTTCGGATTGGAACCGATCTGGACCGTATAAAATAGCCTATATTTA